GGCAGGGGGCTGCAGGGACCCACTGTAACCTCCAACACAAGCTGTCTCAGTCCTGGAAGCAGTGTTGCTGCAGTAGCTGTTTTCAGCCAACTTAATTGCTCTGCGCAAACCTATTTGCGGTCTAGGCAAGACATCTACTCCAAGGAGTCATCAGCACACCCATACAGAATTGTTGTTGTCTGTCAGTGAGTGGGTTTATGTTATATTGTCAAAACAGCTACCAGGATGGGGTGAAAAACGTAGGATGCAGAAAAATCAGAAAATACTATTTTTGTGTAGTTTCCTGGTTATTTCTCTTCCTAAGGGGTCTCTTGTTATATATATATCATGGCAATGCAAAACTCAACAGTGCTAGTTGTACAGTCACAGAGTTTAACTCATGAGATGTCTGAAAGCAGCTTTATAATATTCAGCTCAGTCTTATTTAAAAATAGAACCCAGAGATGGTGCCTTCAACAGCAGCATCAAATAAAGCTTGACTTCTGAGTGTTCCCATACAGAGGAGCAGGGAACTATCACAAAGCAGCAGACCCCTCTGTTGCAGAAGCCAGTGCAGCGCGTATAGCTGTGCATAAAGGGACTTGTCCTTACAACGGGATGTCTCAAACACTTTGCTCCAGCTGAACCCCATCTGGTGGGAAGCAAAAGCTCAGAAAAGCACTGACTTCAGGAGCTGACAGGTCTGTGCAGGAAACTCTTGCTGCAAGACAGCCTTATAGAGAATGTGTGCTCATCAGAGGGTTTGTGGAGCTCTGTGTGCCAGGGGAGGGATGCTCAGTGCAAGGACAGATCAGAAGATGTGAGGAGAGGAATTTTAACCCCCTGTGTATATACTTCACAGATAGCTGTAATAAAACATGAACAGAAACTCCCACAGTGTTTCTTAAGGTACGTGGTTAACAAGATTAGTTGCCTTTAAAAAAGAAATGGTAATTACCTGCAAGAACCTTGGATGGTGATTTCTTAATAAGAAAGATTTCTTATAAGAAAAATGGGGAAAGACTTTTTACCAGGGTCTGTAGTGACAGGACAAGGGGCAACGATTTTAAACTGGAAGAGGGTAGATTTAGGAAGAAAATGTTTGAAATGATGAGTGTGGTGAGACACTGGCACAGGTTGTCCAGAGAAGCTGTCGCTGCCCCATCCTTGGTCGCCCAACCATCCTATGTGCAGTCAGAAGGAGACCTCCCTGTCTCTGTACAGACCCAGCACTGGCTGTCCCCAGGGGTTCA